TCGACCCTTTTACGATGCTCGATTCCGCCGTGCGCAAGTACGAATTCTACCTTCGTCGACGAAATAAATAAACGATAGAAGCGCCCGAAACTATACGATTATTTATTTTAAGAAATCATTTACGTAGAGAACGTATCACGCGTGCGACGCTATTTTAAACTGCGTCAACGCGCAGACTTTGGAGGCACTGTCCAATGCTGATCTTCTTTAAAATTATCAACGGACGAATTAAAGTATCAGCGCTGATAAATATCTACGGTGGCTGCCCGATGGTCTCAGCACGCGACGGTTTAAAACCAATCTTCCTAATTACTAGAACTCGTATACAGGGTGTTCGTCCACCTCGAGGAAAAATTTTAATAGGAGATTCTAGAGGCCAAAATAAGACGAAAATCAAGAATAGCAATTTTTTGATTGAGGCTTCGTTAAAAAGTTATTAACGTTTAAAGTTCCGTTTGTAGAACGGCAATCTGCGAACAGCTGATAGTTCTACAGGCGCAACTTTAAACGTTAATAACATTTTAACGAAGCCTCGACCAACAAATTGGTATTCTTGATTTTCGTCTTATTTTGGCCCCCAGAATCTCCCATTAAAAGTTTTCCCCAAGGTGGCCGAACACCCTGTACATTTACTTTACAATATGCTATTATTAGAAAACTGTACTTTACGAAAGTCCAATGCATTGTTCTACATTATGATTTCCCTTTCGTAGGACTCTGACGGTGGATTAAAATCGAGTATACAAATCGAAGCTGTCCGTTCGCAGCCTTGGATCTCTCGGGGGCGCATTAGTTATGCGTTTCTCGAACGTCACGCGAGAAAAAATTCTATTATATTTCGAACGTAACAACGCCGCAATAAGTGAAACGACGATGAGTCGCGGCTTTCGCCCAAAGAATGAAAAAAACTCGCGTTAATTATCGTCGAGCTGAAAACAGACTGTCGATCAAACCGGGACGACGTTATTGTAAATCGCGTCTGACGCACGAGGATTTTGTTATTAAAATACGAAGAAAAAAAATCACACACACCGACACATGGACGCACGGACGCACTCACGAGAAGAAAGAAAAAAATAGAAGATACGGTTTTGCCGGGAGAAATCACGGAACGCGAAAAATTTCAGCGCAGCTTCGTCGTCGTTACGACTTCCTTCCGCGATCGTCACGAGCTCGCGACGAGTGGCATCACGCCCGCCAGGCGTTCGGCTGTTTTAATTATGACGCACTTGGAGCATATTACGCGAGGGCGTCCGTGGCGGCGCGATGCCGAAAATACGTCGATGAAAGACACCCGATGACGCTCGAAACTGCCCCGACGCTCGAGGATTTCGTTTTGCGTTGCTTGGATAAATTGCAAACAACCGAAACGGATCAACGTTGACGCTTGACGTTCGCGTTGCACCGTTTCCCGGGTGCTTTTCAGCAAAATGCTAAAGTTTTTAAACTGGTAACAATTGTACAAAAACCGTGAATATACGCTCATTAATTGTTAACGTAATCGTCGTACGTAAATGTTACTGCAACCGTATTGTTTCGAAAAATGTTGCTTTATGGTTGCAGCAACGTTTCGACGTCCGATGTTTGCAATGTCTGCAAAACATTGCGATAGCGTCTAGGCAATATCGAATGTGTATTACGCGATCGAATTTCTAGAGTGCAATTTTGATTTTTGAAACGATTAGAATCGTCTAATGGAATCGTTCGAATAAAAGTTAATCCGGCGGTGGGTGGTTTTACAGGCATTCGAACTCCTGGCCTTCCGCTTACGAAGCTCTACCCACTGACCTAACACATCTTCTTGAAAAGTATTTGAATTTAAGGACTTTTACGTATTCGAATTTTAGGTAGGACCTAAGTTTAAATTGTCGGTAGTGTTTCTCTAATAATTGTAATAATATCTAGTGGCGAAGCAGCGTTGAGCATTTCACTCATGATTGAGCATGATAATTACATTTATAATCGATTGATCTTAAAAATGGAAAGACACTATTCAATTGCAATTAACAGTTTAAGGATTAAAACAGTCCCTAATTTAGAGAACTGAAATATCGATTCCTGTTGTAGTCTAATATTAGTTCCACATTGGAACATGTTCCCAGCAAAGTATTTGTTCGTTGAATTTATTATAAATATATCTTTGTACGCACAAGTTGTTTGCGTAAACACTTTTACAAAATAGTAATGTTTCGAGCGTTCCCATCTTTAGTAGCTTGTCCAAATTATATTCGTTATAATATTTGTCCCGATTGCGACGATTAACATGTACATATGTACTCTGGAGGAACATGAAACTAAACATGATCGTTTAATTCCGTTACCTTGTACATACGTGCACGTGTTCATAATTTAAATTACGGGCGTGCAAGATTTTACTCGTCTCTCCGATGATAGGCGTAACAGTCTCGATTTATGCACACCCGACGCGCTTAAATTATTAGAAACGTAATAACGTTCGTAAATGTAGAACGTTTCAGCGCGAGCCACCGCTACCGCGCATGTAACTTTATAGCGTAAAGCTATTACATCGCTGTGTGGGAAGTCTCTCGTGTAACCTTTACCTAACATGCGATAAATACGTTATATCGACATTCATGAATATTTCATTTTCCAGCATGGAACTATGATTACCAGGATACACGTGGAAAGGAATAATCATGGATATTCGACGGTCACGTGAAACGAGAAAAAGGAAGCGATCGAATTCCGAAAGAAGCCCCACGATCGATTGGAAATAAACAATGCACAGTACCCGTGAACGTATTCGTTTATTTTGTACAACAAGATGCACTTATGCCGTCAAGCTTTCAACGAACCAACGAACTGAAAAACGTCGAAACATTGTAAAATTTTTGTTTGTTACAGAAACAAATACTGTTTGTAAGCAAGTAATTTCTATTCATTTGCCTGCAAGTCTTCTAGCATCCTTGTAAATTGAAAACAAGATTTAAAACAGTGATTTCCTCTTCCGTGTAAAGGTTACTCGTATGTTTATTCTGTTATGAATATTTTAATAAAATGAAATTTATTAGATGCCAATCTATTCGTTCAAGAGGAAGGTAATCGTTATATTTAATGAATGCGCGTGAAACCAACGTCTTCGAGTAAAGTGTACTGTTTCCAGATCCCATTGACGACTGAAGAGACACCGAAGAAAGATTTTAATTAATGACAAAAAATGTAAGTTGCGATTTTCCTTTTGGAAACGATCGCCGGGGGTTACGCTTCAAAGAAATGCCTAATTCCGACGTGAGTCACGAAACAGGTAGTTCTCGCATGACGTTAAAAATCGCTTACGGTAGAAAATGCTGGTTTGACGTCAATTCTTTAAAAAAAAAGCTACCAGTATTTACCGGAATTAATTATGTGTAGTCGTCGATGACGGGACGATCGTAAAATTGCTGACGACCGTTGGGAAAGAAGTTACGAGTCTGCATAGATAACGCGAACAAAAAATAGTACGTAATTAAGATAATCGTATATTGAATAGTAAAGCCAAGTCAATCGTCAGAGAACGTAAAATAGATCATGGCAACTGGCTCGTGATCACGCTCGAAATCTTATCGAAACCGTATCGTGGACCCCGTGTCTTCTAGCCAACGGTGCATCACCTCCATCGTGTAACCTTATTCCCATTTTCTCCCCGACGAGACGCACGGTTGTCTCGTCGAAACGACGAATCGAATTCTGTTAGCAACGTGTAACGTTGGCTCGACTGTACAGAGCGAATCACGCAAACGGGACAGGTTATATCTCGAATTTGTATAAAAGATAGAAAAAGAACCATAAAGAGAAAAATTGAAAAGCATAGCAAGGTTTTGACGGCGTTAATAGTTCTACTATGCGATTCATTATGATTGCAAATAACAATTTTTATCCCGATCCTGTAATTAGTGTAGGAATTCCCGCCTAATAAAGAAGTCATTAGTGTAAATATATAACGGCGCCATCTATATTAACGAGCGTCCTGCATTTGTAGATTGATTTTTATTTAAATAATACTAAAAAAAGTTGAATGATACTTCGATCGAAATACATATTCGTACTACAATGCTGTACGATTTTCAAAGAACTTTTGCAATTACAGAAACTTTATGAAAGCCAAGTGTTTGGTATAGATTATAATTGGGACTAAAATGGTGTACCGTTTACTGAACAATCGAAATTAATTATTGAGGATGTGTCGAGTACAAAGATTTCTTGGAATCGTGAAATGACAACTCCAAAGCTTGCAGAAGAATTTAATTGCTCTCAAACATGCATTGTTGAACCACTTCATTGTCTTGGAATGGCCTGAAAACTTGACGTCTGAGTTTCGCATACACTGACTGCAGAAAACAAATTGGACAGGGCGACAACGTACGCTTCGCTCCCTGCTCGTCACAACTATCATTTATTCAGATCATTGCAAAATCATTTGAATGGTACAACGTTCCGAATCATCGAAGACGCGAATAACAAGTTTTATAAGCGTTCCTTTGCAGTATCAAAACCGACTATCGGTTTTTAAAAACACGAAAAGATTAAACAAACGGTTAAACAAGTTTCTTAATTTTCAAACAAAATATATTCGTTGCCTGACAGCTATACTAGTATTAGATATACCTATTTGAACGGTCCCAGGTTCGGGCCTGATCGGTTTGTGCATCGAGGAAGGGAAGAATCGTTCGAGGAAATACGAAAGAGACGAGACCAGTCGGTCGACCCACGTGGTGGCGCACGGGCTATTTGCCTTGCAATTACACTCAGAAACAATTAACGATGAGACGATAGTAGCACGTACGTTGACGTCAATTGTCGAAGATAACGTGCGCGCGCGTGCACGATCCGCGATAGTGTGACGTGGTGGGGAAGAACGACGAGGAGGGTGATGACGGTGGTAGTGGCGATGTTCGCTAAGAATGGCCGAGACGTGGGTGAGGGGTCGGGCTGACGGAGAAGGGGAAGGGAGACAGGGCCGACGACGCTGGAGTAGCAGGGGGGTAGCAACATGGCTGTCGGTCAGTCGGTATCGAACCGCCGGGTTACGCGAAGCTCCTACGACTCTCGCCGTAGGAACGCCGCCGCTCCGGGACGAGATTCGGAATCTCGTGAACGTGAAGGACGACTTCTCACCGATGGCATCGGCTCTCCGACCTTACGCACCCGTCGAGGTCGGCAGTACCAACGCGTTTCTTTCCCTTCAAAAACGGTTCTACCGGTTCGAGACGTGCAGTACCCGGTAATTCGGACCAGGATCGAACGTAAGTAACGAGAACTTGTCACATAACGTTACCTTTGTTCCTTGCTTCCGTATCATGGATGTAAACGACAACGTTTTGAATTGTGTATCGGTCTCGGAGGTTTTCGGCTCGATGTTTTCATTTTTCTTGGTCTTTTTACCCCGTTTCTTTTATCGTCTCATCGAGGACTATCGACGGTTATCGATCCTGGACCCGTCGATGAGCAAGAGGTCGTTGTCGATCCGTGACGTCAGTCGAGAATACCTATTGTACTTGTTGCAGGAAGCTTTTACACTTTTGTAAAGAAGCTTCTTTTCCACGGGCTTTCTTCTGCTTTCGGCATTTTTTTTCTTTTACGTGAAATAACGATGTCGCGTTACAATGTCTACATGCTGCGCGTACCAACGCGTGAACGTTTCTCGTCGAGCATGACCCTTTCGATCAGACCGGGGTGAAATATGCCTTTCAAATAGTAAACAGTAAATTGTTTTATTCGGAGTCTGATTCATTATAATTGATATTAAATAGTATTTTGCTTGCGTTGCTACAAAGATGTATGTACAATTTTGTACGAGTCTTATACTTCAATTCACGAATGTAAACGGAATATGATTTCAAATGAAACATGAAAATTTTAATAATAATTATTTTATTTAAATAAATAAGTCAGAATGAATATGTTTATTTTCGTTATATTTCCAAAACGACGAATAAATATTTTGTACTTAATCTTGAAATATTTTATTAATTTTACAGTGGTGAAAATTAAGTTAAAATAGAAATACTTTGTAGATCGTTAATTAGTTATAAAATTTGTTTTACGTTTCATGCTGAGATGTTAAAAGCCTGAAGCACAGCTCCAATGTACTGCACTTTAAGATGATATATATGATATAATGTAAAATGACAATTTGTTTAAAATGTAAAATAGCCTTTTTTAAATAAAATTTATATTTAAAACGTTTCAACACTCATAATAAAGCACTATTTTATTTATTCATTGCATAAATAAAATTTTATCTGTGCATGTACAATTAACTGTATTGTGTGTTGTTAAAAAGAAGTCATTGAATATAATGGTAATTATTGTGGATAACTAAGATAATGATAAATGTTTAAAAGATTAAGTAGTAATTTTTTGCAATTATCTTTTTTTCTTTTTCAGCAATTTCAGACAATTTTAGAATACAATAAAAAGAAGCAATCTTTTAAAAGTTGTTCGCAAGGAACTGTTTATATAAAAATGGATTCTGGAGTAGGACAAAGCAAGATGCAAATTCGTGTAGGATTTTATGACATTGAAGGTACTATTGGCAAAGGGAACTTTGCTGTAGTAAAATTAGCTAGACACCGTATTACTAAAACAGAGGTAAATATAATTTGTTTGCTTCCTTTATAATTAACAATTCAAAACATGATTGAACCTTGTTCTTTCTCTTTCTAGGTAGCTATTAAAATAATTGATAAAACACAGTTGGATCCTACCAATCTTGAAAAAGTTTATAGAGAAGTAGAAATAATGAAGCAATTGGAACACCCACACATTGTCAAACTGTATCAAGTTATGGAAACTAAAAATATGATATATATGGTATGCTTACATAATACAGTGAAACTCTAATTTCAAACAAATTTGCAGAATTTAAGACCGGTTACATATTGCGTATCTTTATTAGGTGTGCGAATACGCAAGCAAAGGTGAAATATTTGATTATATTGCACGTTATGGACGAATGGGAGAACCCAGAGCTCGTGCAACGTTTGCTCAAATACTATCTGCGGTCGAATACTGCCATGCGACGGGCGTAGCGCATCGTGATCTGAAAGCTGAAAATTTACTCCTAGATTCTCAAATGAATGTAAAGATTGCTGACTTTGGCTTTAGCAATAGATTTTCACCTGGAGAAAGACTGAGTACATGGTGCGGTAGTCCCCCTTACGCGGCACCGGAAGTTTTTCGAGGGAAACATTATGCTGGTCCTGAAATCGATGTGTGGGTGAGCAGTTTATACATACCTACCCAATGCACAACATCTAACACAAGTATTTAAATACATTGTATCGTTATTGTTACAGAGTTTAGGTGTTGTACTATATGTATTAGTATGCGGAGCACTGCCCTTTGATGGATCTACCCTTCAATCTTTAAGAGATCGTGTTTTGAGTGGAAGATTTAGAATTCCATACTTTATGAGTACAGGTATTTCTTGTGAATGATAGTTCTTTTGAAATTTCTATGCTTTTAATCTCGCTTCAAAATATACGTGAAATTTTCCTTACAGATTGTGAAAGCTTAATACGTAAAATGTTGGTTTTGGAACCTGCAAAGCGATACACCATTCCACAAATAAAGAGGCATCGTTGGATGGCGGGGTCTGCAGACACTATTTGTTCTATGATCATAACGCGACCGTCATCGGCCATCCAAGAACCAAATGAACAAATACTTCGACTTATGCATAGCTTAGGCATCGATATTACACGAACCAGAGAGGTAGCTTTCGACGCTTGTCTTTATATATTAATCGTAATATAATTATTTAATATAAGACGTTTGAACAGATATTACTTTATCTAAAAATAATTCACAGTTGTGAAGGTTACCATTGACCAGGTTTATGTCCTTTCACAGTCATTGAGGAAGAGCAGCTATGATCATCATGCTGCCATTTACTTCTTACTGTTGGAGAGGTTGAAGCAACATCGTGTCAGTAGCACAGCAAACAATACCTGTTGGCCTAGTGTTCCAAGAACGAAAGAGGACAAATTCAAATCAAGGTAAACTTACACTACTAACTAACATTTTATCATTTTGTATTAACTCTTTACACTGTTTTATGTATGTAATTTAATATAACGCGATGTAACTGATTTTGTTGACTTCCAATCCTGCCAGTCGGAAAAATTTCTGAAGACACTGTTAAATTTTAATTGTACAATTTTTATTTACAGCGATAGCTTAGTGGAACGTTGACCTTTATTGAAGGTGATGCATATTTGGAGATTTTATCAGGACAGGTTGGGTTGGAAACACTTTGCTGTCACTTTATTTTTGGTAATTTTTCATTTTATTTCATTGCTTTCCTTTGGTTTCAGATTTTATTTCTTTTAATTCGTTTTTGAATTTTTTTGGTTTTTTATATTATCATGGTCTCCGTTTGCTTCTACATGCGTAAATACCACTAGAAATTAAATAAAAATAGATAAAGGTAGATAAAAAAAAAATTATTAATGAAAGGTTTTATTAGGACTATTCTGAACAATTTCGAAATGAAGAAATGTTACTTGGACGTTTTGAAGCGAAAGAAAGAGCTTTGTAAACGAGCATCGTTCATTCGTCATCATAAACATCTACGTTAAATAGTCTACATATGTATCAAGTATGTCGTGTATCTATTTCTAGAACAAGAGAAGATACACCTCGAGGAGGAAAAAGATTTAGTTCAACTAGTTCTTCGACTGATGAAGGATGTTGTAGCGCGGAAGGCGATCTAGAAGAAGGTCCAAGTGGCGATGAATTGAGAGAAGCTCAAATTAAACTTGAGGAACACAGACTAGGCCTAGACCATGATATCAGTCAACGAATTGACAGTCAGATAGTCAATCGAAGATTAAGTGATTATCAACACCATTTTGATACCCCACTTATGGATCCTATTGATCCTCCTAGTCGAACCGCATTATTTATTGCGGGTGGTAGTGGTAGTTCGTCATCCGAACTTTTCGAATCTAGTTTTGACTCTGGTTGTCCACCAGATTACTCGGGTGCAAACTCGTTCACAAGTAGTTTGCCGTCCTGCACCCCTCCTCCACCTTTGAGTCCATCGCCGATAACTGGTAGAATATCGAGAGTCTCTCAGGGGCGTAGAGCATCCGACGGTGGGCCCAGATTGCTATTTTGTCAGCAAGGTGGCGGAGATAGACCAACCAAACAGCGAAGTATCCAAGGTATTATAAGAGAAACAAGATATTTAAATCGTATACAGTAGCTTATGAAAGTATTAAAATGCTTTTCAAATACTTTCACGGGCCTCTATAAATTTCTTTGTTACAACATGGCAATTTAATCTTGTTATTACAGATTCAGGCAAAGCAAGGGGTCATTTAGACCTTGTTCATTTAAGACCACCGTCTACACCACCCGAGAATCAATCACAATTTAAAATTCGTGGAGACTCTAGTACGCAATTACAATTGTTAGTGCAACAGCGTATGTTGCAACAAAAGCGAAACTTATATCATAGACATAAGGGTGGAGGAAGCCCGACTCCTATACCGGTGTCAGCGAGTACCACAAGCAGACGCGCTGATCATGTACCAAGACAAGATAGTTATAAACTAGCTCAGAGAACACAAATCTTGCCACCTTTATCTCAGGGACACGTCGACAGAGATTTTGACAGAGAAAGAAAACGAGACGAAGAAAGATGGAAAAGCCTGCCATCCCGACTAGCAGCAGATTGTCAGTTGGCAGAAAGGACATTGCTGTGGAGTCAACAGGTAATTTTATAAATAGAAATTTAAAAAAATCGTTTGGGTAAAGCCGCCTAATAAAAAAAAAGTTATCGGGGCAGAGTAAAAGGACGCAAAATAACTCGGTGATATCTGTTCGACGATCGTGACGTCATTGCTTTTTTGAAGCAAATTTAAATCGTGCCAGAATTGTGTACCTATACTCAAACTCAAACACACGAGTATTACTTTACCGTTCCTTTCATAATGTTAGCATTGTTGTGAGCGTGTATCATGTTCATAACGATGAATCGATGTAAATATTATTAGTATCGTTTACGACATTAGTGATTAGATGTTATTTGTGATACGATAGCACAATTATTTGTGTTAGATGCAAATAAACAATTATTTTTCTTTAATTTGGCAGTTTATTGTTTACTCTAATTTGCCTTACTTCGTGCATGTACCAATCCTCGACTGAACATCAATGTACAGTTAACAAAAATATTTGTGTCTTTTAAAAATAAATTGGATCGCAATTTATGTGTTTTACTACGCCCGTATTGTTAATACATATGTTTCTGAGAACAAATGAAAAAAAAAAATAAAATATCATTTTGATAACTGTGCAATATAATTTTAAATAGTTACCTATTTGCCTGTTAAATACACTTTTTCAAAAACAACAATGCACCGATACACCGTCGCAATTCAGAGAATAGTATTCTCTCATATTTTTAGCACAACTGTGATTAAGGAATTCCTAAACAATACAATATTAAACACTTAAACATCAAGCTTGAAAAATGCATACCGTTTGTAGTACCTTTCCCTTATTTGGCTTCCTAGATTTTATTTTTTGATATGTCATAATAAAGATGTTGAGCACAAAACATAGTATACAAAATGTAAATAATTTAAAGAAGGAAATATATCAGGTGGGTCTCAGTGGAGGAGCATCATATTTGCCACCTGGCAGTGTAGGTGGCTTTTTATGGCCCACTGGAAGCAACCCTCACTCAACCATCTTCGAAAACGTTGGGGATCCAATGGAATGAACATCTACCCTGTTATACTTTTAGTATTGAATTGGAGATTTTGAGTCTGAAAGACTAGATTCGATACACAAAATACAATAAGCAGTATTGCCTTCCTAGTCTTTCCATATCAGTATTTTTATTTATATAATTATGTATTGTATCATATCTATTTTTTAAGTACTCAATGACAAGTTTGTATAAATTTATTTGTAGAACCGTTTCCTCCGTGATACTCTAGCTTTCATACACAAAATCTTTGATTAGATGGGAGGTATATGTTACTAGATGCCAAAGATTTGTTACTGTTAAATAATTCTTTTCCCCCCGAAAACATCTGCTTCGAGCATCCACTTTTATCATATATATTTATATATTCATGTATATCATTCACGAAAAAATTACATATATCACGTACATTTAATAAAATTGTAATGTCATTAAAAATCTTTGTCATGTAGTAGCACATGCGCCTGCCTTATTGACTGACTGACTTTATCAGTCAAATATCCAATTATATCATAGACTGATAATTAACAAAAGGAAACACCAACCAAGTTTATATTTACGAGCAAGTGGCATATGTCTTGCTTTACAATGACTATGTTTAATTGGAAGTACAACGTATATAGTTGTGCATATTTTAATGATAATTAACGAAGAGTGCTTTTGATGTGCTTCCTGAATACATATTAATCAATATAATCAAAGGATAAAACTTTTAAGTTAATTTACCATTTCTACAACTTCCATTTGAAACGAAATAAATTAACAAAATGTTTAAAACGAAATAAAATTTAGAGAGTTGTTGAGTGATAAAAGTATTGGTGCTCAAATTAAGGACAAGTAATTATAAATACATATGTTATAGCATAAGAGGTAGAATTGCAATAATCTTCACTTCGTAGAAATGACTGAATAAAGTTTATTTGGAACTAGATGCAAGAACTATGCCACTTATGCTTTTCTATGCAAATAATTGAAGAGTGGAGTTAATAAATGAAAATAATTACGTTGAAGTTTTTCGTTATACATTTTTTATTGATAGCTATTCCAATAATGTTGTACAAAAATAGGTGTTTTATCATTCCACTCTTCATTATGATGGTTATAGCAAGATAGGAAATAATAGTAATAAATAGCGATAAATAGTAGCTGCTGTTTAAAAAGTAACAAAGTGCTGCATTCTGTAAAGATGTTTAAATAAAATTGTTGTATACACGATCTTGAACGAAAATAATGATTGTTTACATTTTAAATTATAAATTTTCTATGCATTTTGATTTTCTACAAAGAATGCAAACTGCATTAATAGTTACTGGTAATATTGCCGTGCATAAATGTTAGTACAAAGTTACCATTTTATTTGAAACAAAAAATTACGCAGTTCTGCATTACGAGCTTGCGCGAACGCAATTAAAATGAAAATAAAATGAATCGATAACGAAAATAATGTTTGTACATTTTGATACGAATACAGCACTTTTCATGGCAAATATGTATTAGATTCTGGTAGTCTAGTCAGTAGGAAGCAATACCGGCCGCGCACAACTGACAACGACTTTAATATTTAAATTTTCCGCCATTTTTTACCCAACAAAAAACAATCAAACTTCGCTCAAAAAATCTTTTGATAAGTAAAAAAAAAAGATAGCCGTTAAGTTAGCATAATCATATGAGATCTTGTTCTGGCATATTGTTCTCAAAAAGACATTCCAAAAACGTGTAAACAAAAACCTCAGGAATTGAAAATCAGTTTTGGCATTGTTGCGTATTTACATCTACGTGTCTTTTCTGGAATGATAGCCTTTGAAGTTGCATGAAATAGATATCATTTATGAATATGTACCATTAATTTATTAGCAAGTAAATTTATTTCGTCGGTATACGAACAAATTCTGCAAATACATTTTTACTTGTAATAAAAAGTCATTATAAAAACTATTGTTGACAATGATACACAATGTTATTGTTTGGCAATATATCATCGAACTGATACGTGCAAGTACTTTGTGGAGTAATTATTTGCTCTCAGATAGTGACGTGTCCAATAACATTGTATAAGAATTGGGTGATACAAAAGTAAACAGGAAATTTGCAGTTACTAATTAGTCTGTTTTTATATTTGCATTAAATTAAATATTTCATAATTTTCTTACTGTCACATATGATAGTAAATAATTACTGTTTATAAACTGCAAAACTGTCAACAAGTGTATACATTACAGGTACGAAGATATTGAATAAAAACCATATGCAGACTGCAAAATAAAATTCATCTTATGGGATATCAAATTTATTTACATCATGAATATTAATTTTTATTAATTATTTTTTCTTCGCGTTACATTTACATTTCTTACACTTATATTCAATTTAAATACAATTTACCATTTTCTTTTCATCGTAAAAATATCTGTACCAGTTTTTTCAGCTTTCTGTGCAGCTTCTTCTGGTGTCATGCTTTCATATTCACTAGGATTTAACGGTTCACCATTTGGTCCTAATTGGCCATCTTTAAAGTCCTTTTCAATTTTGTCAGCATATACTAAATCAAATAAATCTTTTGCAGTAAATGCACGTTGTTTAATTCCTTGACATTTGTAAGAAACATATGGTTTTAGATGAAAATCCTTCAGTGAAGGTACAACAAGTTCTGGTATCATTTCTGGTACATTCACCCATTTATCTTCTTCGTATACTCCTGTCAGTTTTAGACCCCTTCCTAAAATTATTAAGTATCGCACAAATGTTAATTATTGTTTATTTTTCTCAATTATTAAAACAATTATTAATAGGTACCTATAATAGATTTGTGCATATAAAAATAATATTTTTCTTTCTCAGAGAAACAAAATTTTACATGCACCGATCTAATACATTTATATATTCAATTCTACATAATAAAAAAACGAATAACAAATTCTTACTATCGACTGGAATTTCGGGGTTTTTATTATTGTGTCGTGATTCTTTAAACGCACGACTGCCTCGTTTGTTATACAACAAAAATTTCCGAAAATTTCGTTTTCCATAACAAACAGACGAAGTCGAAATTTGACGACGTATAACCATACACACAGATGCCATTGTAACTTATGTAGAAATAAATAAACAATCTAAATTGTACCCAGAATTCTTAAGTAATAACGTGTTATGTATCCTGCGAAAACAGTGTTAGTATTAGGTTAGATTTGGTACCGAAATCCGAGTGCTTAATCAGACAATTTCGAAAGTATCGTTTATAATATTTAAATGATCTATAACAATTCAGTACACTATTGTTTATAAATATAACAAACAATTCTTGATCATAGAGTTATTCAACGAATACATGAACCGATAATAATACATATTACGCCTTTGAGAAAATGCTGTCAAATTTAAATCGTGTTATGCAATGGTTAATACTATTCCTATTACAGAAATTTCTCAAAACATAGTAAATAGTTTACGAAATTTACCATATATTGATATATCACTAATATTTGAAGATTAGTTTATGTTTCGCATGCTCATTGTATAAAAAAGGTCATTGGTCCCAATCAGCCTTGACAGTATAATTATTGAGTTACGAATCATAATATGTAAAAAATACTTTTAACTTACAATTTCATACAATTTTTAATCAAAGAAAGTAATTTATTGATAACATTTATTTTAATTCAGCTTCGATTTCGCTTACAAAGTATAAAATTAAATTTGGGGACAGAGAGAAAAGAAAACGAAGTATTTTGTTCACGATTTTATTTAACAAAGTATATTTTAGATATAAAAGCAATTTGAGTATGATAGATTTTCGTTGTTTGAAAAAATTTGATACTATTGGAGAATTTGTTGTAGAGCTATTGCATTATTGGAAATTACTAAATATAGTCGTGTTTACGTGTGGTGCCCGCCAAAACGTGATTAGGGAGATATCTATGAAAACTCGCTGAAGTTAAAGATTTGCAAGCTACTGTTGGTTAAGAAGTTTTCATATATATTTCATCTGTTTCTATTCGATATTTGTTATTTTAAAAACAAAGAATTCATTCATTCTGTCACAAGCTCTTAATGAACAAACATGTATACTTATACATGTGGGGATGTAAACACGCTGTGCCTTCTTCTCGTGGAAGGACGATGCGTTCGTCGTTACTAGTGCCGCCGTCGATGCACTCAATTATGCCAAATCTGGCTATACTGACGCCTGTCCCCTGATTGGTTACATTTCTACTGTTCTACATGAGATAGAGACTGAGTTACACTGTCGCAGTGACTCCAGTACATACGAGCCATGCTGAACAAGACAGAAAAATCGAGAGAGTCTAATTTTGCACTTGGTAGAAAAAGTACGCAGTATTTGTGCGCCTCTGTCTATCCAGTGTAAAATCGGACTCTCGCAGCTTGACTGCCTCTCGCGCGGCATGGCTCGTACTGTGGTATTACAAATGTATACTTGCGGATTCGCATTTATGTGTTGCATGTATACGAATAGATGATGGACCGAGTATTTTGATTATTTTGTTGTTTTGAACATGACATCTGACAAGTGAAAGTCTAACCTTTTTTGATTTCTAAACTTCTATATTGCATTTTTATCGAAACGCATTTTTTCGACCATAGCTATGATGGTACGTGAAATGATTTCCGTTCATTTCCCTTTTCAGTTTAAAGATATTTGTAATGTGTTTTCAAACAAAATTTTAAGACATCGTTTTCCCGGGGGGAAAAATGTACTTTTACGTGAATTATTAATTGTTCCCTAATATTACAATTATCAATGTATATTTTATGTTCAATATTAAATTGTTTTACAATTTCCAAGAATTAAATTTAAGATTCAAAAGCAGATGATATACCAACAACCATTTTCATTTAAAATTATCTACAAAATTCACTAGCAATGTATTTGTAGTTCCTCTCATAATCTGTCATATTTTATAACATAATTTGAATTAAAAATATTCAAAGTAAATGTCAAATTTGTAGGACAATGATGCTGCTGCTCTGCAGAATTTAGAGCACCTTATGACACAGTTCTTTTCTCCAGAGACAACGAATGAACGAAAACGTATGATTGAACAAAGTTTTCAGGAATTTGCTGGCCAAATTGATTCTTGGCGGCCTTGTTTACATTTTTTATCTTCTACTAATAATCATTATGTTAGTATGTTTGCTCTGTCTACGTTGGAGGTATGTATTTATATTATCCTTTAATTTTGGTTTTTTCTTGCAAATGTTTTGTAAATTTATATTGATAAGAATATTGTATAACATCATAGAATAGTTTCGCTATATAACAAACTAGTTATGCAGTGAAATAAGGTAAAAAAGAAATGTTATTATAGACAACAATTGGACGACGATGGCCAATTCTTCCATGGGAGGATAGAGCTCTTACAAGATCAACCTTATATACATTATCGTTAGAAAGAGGTGTAGCTCCTTTTGTAAGAAACAAAGTAGTCAAACTAGTCGTAGACATTGCAAGGCACGACTGGCCACATTTTTATCCAGATTTTTACTCAAACATTTTACAGGTTTGTAAATATGCTAGCATAAAATTAAAATTTTATATAAACTATCTTTGACTTAAATATAGCTTAATCTTCTTGTGTATACTGAAAGTTATTAAGTCACAAACATACAAGACTGTTGGGTCTCATTTACTTGAGAACAGCTTCGGAGGAACTAGCAACTCCAAGAGAAGATTTACCAATGCAAAGGAAGAATGAATTGTTCAGATTTCTTAGTGCTCAAGTGCCTTTGACTTTGGATACTCTTGCAAGTATGATTTCTTCTATAAGAATTAAAAATTCAATCAAAAATTACTTCAATTGGACTTAGATTTTAGATCATGGTTCTATTATATTATTTTCAAATTTAACAAAATTGAATATTATTTACTCCAATTTAGTATTTTTAAAAGAGACAACAAAGTTACAAAGTCGCTCTGGAACGGTTACTCCACCTCCTTCACCCACCAGTGGGCAAACTGTAGCACCTGCACGAGCTATTTTAGACGTGGAAGGACTAGCCATAGGAACTAGCGAAGTGTGTATAGCGACGCTGGATGTATTGGCACATCTGTTCAGTTGGATCGAATTGTCAGAGCATATTTCGACGAATTTACTGAACGCCATTTTTACCTGTGCAAGGTATCATGATGCAATGGTAGGATTTACGTTAATGATTACAAAACATTGTAATACAGTCAGTACAAATTATATCTAATTGTACGTTTTATTAATAGAATGGTAAACAGATAGAAATGGCTGTACAAGCCGTGACTACAATAAATGAACTTTTATATCGACCATTGTGCTCCCCTGATGTAACAGATAGATTGTTGGTAGAAATATTTCAGAATGGAATTACATTATTTCAGTTTATGGAACGTTTAGATTCTGTAGATGATAGGTATCCACTAATCTGTTTAAATATTTTCATATCAAACCTTAAGTATTCTTATATTCAAGCATAATATTTCTAAATCAAAAAAACTTTATTTCTAGTTATATGGAGAAATTAACAGAATTTTTACAATTATTTGTAACGAATCACCTGAAGAGAGTTGAATCATGTCCCAAATTTCCAGTGAATACATTGCTAGAAGTCTTGTGTCATCACACTTTTCAACAGTGCTCAACGGTGAATGGATATCTAAGATGCTTAGACGTTTGGACCACTCTCTTAGAAAGCACACAATCTCAGTATTCGCCAGTAGCGTTAGCTCTTGCCGAACGAGTATTGCAGAAGATGAGTTTTAAGCTCAACACCCGAGCATTGAAAGATCTTGATACAGAAAGTTTAGATGAAAATGTGAGAAAATCCACGAAATTTGATCGTAATTGTTTCTGTTTTATAATACAGTTATTCTAATAATTTATTACAGGAGGAAACAGAATGGCAGCATTTCTTAAGATGCAACATAGAATGTTTAGCAAAGGTGGCGGATATTTCTCCAATTCCAGTTTTCACACTATTGGTAAAATCGTATATAATTGTGGGTGTTATTTAAATTAATTTGTAGTTAATGTTTGTTTCGACTTTTTCAGTTCCGTTCTTGGAGAGAAGGATTAATAATATTTGGAGAATTAGGTGCTGCTATTGCTAATAATCAAGTCATTTTATTAAACGAATCGGAGGCTTCTAACGTACATGCACATTTGCGAGATTTAGCTTCAACTACTCAAGCGTTAGCTAGGCTATACTCACTTTTTCTTGGTAAATTAATTTTTTTTCTACGAATATTATCATTATAATATTTAAAAACATAAATTCTTCCTAATGGAAACAGGGGATGAACAGAATATTAATCAATCGTTAGCGGAAGAAGTAGTATCTCAAACGTTGGATGCATGTAAATTTGCCAATACTAACCACTTATACAAAGCATCGCTGCAACCAGCTGCAATTGTAATTGATCTCATAGAAGTGTGAGTAACGTTTAAAAAATAGACCGTTTAAGTACTCTAAGTGAAATGAGTTTTATAATTATGATTTACGTTTTTCGGTAGACATTCACAATTATTAGCATCGCTCCAAGCTTGGTGTCATTGGATAGCCAATAGGCCAGAGAAAACTAAAGAATCACTATGCCAACGTTGTATCGATTCATGTATTTTGGCATTAGATTACACAACATTCTGTGATAATCCTCCACCAGCAAGTCTAACCCATTCTGCCACACATCTGTTTCAAAGTATTACTGCAATATTGAAACCAATTTTATGGGACGAACCTACGTTTAGAAACTTAATTTCTATGATATCATATCCATTTATGAAACCTGATACAATTAAGGTGTTGCGCAGGGCATTGGTGAATGCAATTATTCTACCACATGGTGATGGAATTATCAGAGAAAGATTATTAGGTAAATATACACGCATAAAAAAAAAAGCGGAAGGCGCGAGATTTTCGATATCAATAAAATAACATTGGCAATGCTGCATTTTAACAATTCGGAGTCACCAATTTCATTTTATCAATTAGAAAATTTCATTAACATTTCGCGATTCTAATTCAAATAGGTACCATGATATCAACATTATCTACATCTCTGGGTTCAGAGGGACAACCCGTACCTTCAGAAGCCGCAATTTCAATGACAGTAGTGCCATTAACTCAGTTACTAGAAGACTGTTCATCGTCATCCACAACGATAAAAAGGATGTTGCACTCGTGTTTGGGATCAACGATAAATCGAATATTAGAACTGTTGCCATATATGATAAGGTGTCAGAGCATATGTGAAATTTTACTTAGTTTTCTACATTCAGTATTTTTAGTATTACAACAGCAATTAGGCCCGGAGTTTACCCAGAATGCGGTTCAAGGAATGTTGCATATTTATACTAAGTGCGTAATTTAATTTTTGTCATTGGAATTTTTTATTTTTAATTTTAATAAGAAAAAATACAAAAAATATATCTTGTTCGATATGCTTGCAGGGAAAATATATCTGTGGGACCTGCGTTAGATCAATTGTTAGAAATTTTAATATTGGTCGTGTCGGCGCCTAGCAGTGCATTTAAAACATTTGTCCCTTCTGTGACCAATTTATGTTTAGGTCAAGTCTGGCCGGCTATCGGAAATAATCTTAGCGTGCATCCGGACACCACGCTTGTTTTATTAAAACTTTTTCATAGGTAATTAACGAATCATCTAACATTTCCACTTTGTATCTCATATAATAAGAGAACCATAATTAATGTAAAATTTTTGTTTAGTATTCTCATGCATCGATGGCAATATTTTTATAATACTTCCGTGTTACGTACTCTTGGTCATACAGACGAAGATGAATCCGTCGAACACAAGGAAGAACTGGTCGCAATTTTAGAAGCTTTTGGCCAGGCACTTCTTCAACCAGATGTGAATATATTCCGACAAAGTTTGCAGAGTCTTGAACAGTTGAACGTACGGTGGCGACTTTATCAACGATCAGTGTTCAAGGTTCATTTGCTCGAGAGATTTCTAATGGCATTGTTCACCGTTCTGTTTCAACAGTGAGTCTGACAAAATATTTCGATCATTACTTATCGCTTTAATCGATCAAATACAATAATAATATCCATTTTCAGATCCCATAATTTATTGGCAGATGAAATAGCAACAGCCGTTCATAGTTTAGCTTCTGTTAATATAGCATGGTTTTTCGGCCATTTTCTACCAACATTTTTAGCAAGCTGTGAAGGAGTGGATGACATGCAAAAAGCAACATTGTTAGGAAACTTTGATAAGTCTACGGTGAGTTGAATTCAAAAACATAATTGATTTATTTAATGTTTTGCGATACTTTATCACTCTGATTGAATATGAATAGGACCAACCAACTTTAACGAGGTCAGTGCTTCAACTTATTTCCGATCTGAGATGTTATCAATTTTGTCGACCCGGCTGAAGCATTTACATTTTAACGAAAAAGTGGATTACAATGATACTGCTGAATCAAATTTCAACATTGAAATTAAAAGGAAGCAGCATTTACAATGAATCTCCATTTTTTGTGCCTCGAGATGAATACCAAAATTTCGAATTATAAAATGGAGAAGGACAAAATGTTTTCTAAATTAATTAATGTGTGTAAACCACTGCCGTATCGTATTGTGATGTCGTTAACGTTATTGTTACGGAATAAAACGCGTTTTTTAATACTTTTCATTGTATATACATATGTATATATATTTCCTAGTTCAATTTGTTCTATACAAATTTTTCTTAAACATGTTTCCACCGTCGGAAAAATGCATATAAACGAATTTTTTTATATAAGTCTTAAATATCAGGATACATTATCATCGAAATAATATTGTAATTCGTACTGTATAATGTGAACTGTGGAATCAATTCCGATTAACCACAGACTTGACTTAAGATATTTGTTGTTTTATTTTTATCATATCTCTCCTCCTTTTCTTGATAAGCAAAATCGCTCTGAATAGAGATAACCCTCGATCTTCGTGCATTATATTGTAAAATTGTATAAGATAGTGACAGACAATTGGCAATGTTTCGTTTATTGTCTAGAAATACTACTTACGTTTCTAAGTTACAGATGGTAAGATATTTGGTGACTGATACAAAATATGGATTCTTGAAACAATTAGGTCTAACAACAGAGAACCCAGGTCTTTATGATGGACAATGGGGAGGATCTGGCAAGGTATTTTGTGCAGATAAAATCAAGTTTACAGCTAATGAATGCGTTTTAAATGGATCTGTATCTGAATAAAATTGTTGACTAAAAGTAGTTTTCGAAAACATTGGGAAACATTTATTTTATTAAACTTCATGTTGCAAAATAGGTTATAGAATCTATTTCGCCATCAACTGGTGAACTAATAGCGAAAGTTCGAACGTCGACTACACAAGAAGTAAGTAATGCTATTACAGAAACACGCAAAGCATGGCCACAGTGGGCATCACTGCCAGCACCTGCGAGAGGAGAAATAGTACGGCAAATCGGGGAAGAATTACGAAATAATCTAAAACCACTAGGACAATTAGTGTCTTTAGAAATGGGTAAATTTTGTTAATTAAAAATTTGAATTCTTCCATAAATTTGTATCAACTTCAATTGTATGATTTGTTAGGGAAAATATTACCAGAAGGTATTGGAGAAGTTCAGGAGTTTATTGACATATGTGATTATGCTGTTGGTTTATCTAGAATGCTACCTGGCAGTATATTTCCTTCAGAAAGAAAAGATCATGCTCTTTTAGAAAAATGGAATTCCCTTGGTGTTATTGGTGTTATTTCTGCATTTAACTTTCCTGTTGCAGTAAGTATAACTTTAAGTATTAAAAAAGCAAAGAACGAAGCATAATAAACAGAAATATTATCTCAGGTGTATGGTTGGAATAGTGCAATAGCAATGATTTGTGGGAATATGATAGTTTGGAAAGGAGCACTTACCACTCCTTTAGTATCTATTGCAACTACTAAAATTATCGCAGGTGTATTAGAGCGAAATGGCATTCCAGGTTCTGTTGCATCTTTAGTAACAGGTGGCCCAGATGTTGGTGAAACTATTGTTAATGATAAACGGTAAGTCTAGAAATATTTAATTCTGTAAATTCAATTGTATTATACACAATATATTATTCTCCATCTACTATTTCTATTTCTAAGTGTTCCTCTGGTTTCATTTACTGGGAGCACTAACATTGGAAGAAAAGTGGCCCTTAAGGTTCAAGAACGTTTTGGAAAATCTCTGCTAGAATTAGGAGGCAATAATGCATTAATAGGTAAGTTAAGAGATTATAATATTTATACAGGGTGTTTCCGAATGATTCCTTATGGAAAAATAGAAGAAATAAAAACAGTAAAATTTTTTTTATTTCTGCTTAGTTTTTTAAATAATCAAGTTTGAAAATTCACTCTGTATTTTATGCACTGACGGCTGAAATACGATTCGCCTTGCGACGTATAGTGCTTACCGTGTTTATAAACTATGTTCTACAACTTTTGATATGCTACTCAAATCGGCGGTTTATCGTAGACACTAAGTTTCCATCAATTTACCGTGATGACTTACACGAATCGAGAATACGATGATATGATCCAAGCTTTGGGAATCTGTAACGGAAGTTTACTTGCTACTTTCCGTTACTACAAAGAACGATATCCGAATCGTAGGATTGCCGATCGGAAAACGATATAAAGTATTGGGTTGTTCGGAAAGTAGTTTTGTTTTCTAACCAACAGAGACGTTAATTGTATTTTTAACCAGCCAACTTTATTCTAAACCGTATTTTCATTATATATTTTCACAGCTGACACGTTAAAGCTTGTTTGTAAAAAATTTTGTTTGTTTCTGTGCAATTGTGTTCCTTTGGTGTTCCCATAAAATATGGAAAATCAGAAGCTGCATTTTCGGCATATTTTGCTTTTTTTATTATCGAAAAGGCTGAAAGAATGCTGTTTTAACAGAATGACAGTGCCAAAACTCGTTCGCAAAATTTCGTTCCTGCAATTTTGATATCAAGGGTGACCCACGTTCTGGAAGGTCAGTTAAAGCCGACGAAACCATACAAACCCCCAAAACAAACGTGACTCTTGCGAATGCTCTCAAAGACCAAAAAAGTAGCCTAGAACACAGGGTTGATTTTTTACAACTATAATAAAAAATATCCGAACTTTGTAAAGCTATACACAGATGCATCCAAGATCAACCAGGGTGTAGGAATTGCCATTATATGCGACAACATGACCAAAAAACTTCGCCTCCCCAATGCTTCATCTATTTTCTCAGCTGAAGCATATGCATTCCTTAAAGCATTACACTACATACAAAGTCAGAATCTCCAACATGCTGTCATCTATACTGACTCTATGAGTGTAATTAATGCAATAGGAAACACCGACAATAAGAGCAAACATGATGCCATATTGAATATCCAAGAGATATACACGGACCTTACCAACAATGGCAAACAAATAATCCTAATATGGGTCTTCTCCCATTAAGGGATAATAGGTAATGAAAAAGCTGATACTGCAGCCAAAGAAGCAGCATCCCACCCACCCAATGAAGTGAAGGGACGAATACCATACCAAGACCTCATCACTTTGCTAAAACACATTGAAAAACAAGAATGGAACATCATATGGACCACCTCCAAAAAAACAAAAACGCATGATGCAGTACAGGATTTCTACCAGCCAATGCCTTCCGACATGACCAGAAGAGAAAGAATAATTACGGTACGACTGCGCACAGGCCACTGAAGACTGACGCACCAGTATTTGATCAAGAAGACGGACCCACCATCCTGCAACGTATACGATCAGCCGTTATCGACCAACCACGTGCTGTATCAATGCAAGAGATTCCAGACCTCAAGACAAAAATACGAAATAGAAAAACCAACAGCCTTGACAGCTCCAGAATGCACCGATGCTACCCTGAAGTATCTAAAAGAAACTAACATGTACAAAGAAATCTAACCACCCCTAAAAGAGAACGCTAGAACTAACCGTCGCTAATGACCTTAAGGTCGGTGCGACGTTAAAAGTTAATATAAAAAAAAAAAATATTTATATATTATAAGAAAATTGTTCCTTTTTACGAAGGAGAAAAACGAAATTACTTTCCGAATAACCCAAATTGAAAGAAATCTTTTAGTAAATGGTTATTTCCAACTTTAACGACCACTACGAGATTGTAGAAGAATTCGTCAGCAAAAGCGAGGCAATCAATTTCAGCAATTCTATAATTAATATTAAATGATAAAGTTAATCCATTTTTAATTTTGTTTGAATCCAATATCTCGTAAATATTTTGTAAACATCGTTTATAAACACGGTAGACAACATACGTTATAGGGCGAATTGTATCTCGGCCGTTAGTGCGTATAACACAGAGTGAATTTTCAAACTTGATTATTTCGAAAACTAAGTCGAAAAAAAAAATTTTTATTCTTTTTATTTCTTTTATTTTTCCGTAAGGAATCACCTCCCGCTTGCTTATACGTGTTATTCGGGAACATCCTGTATATTTGTACAGGTAACCCTCCTACAACACGGTTTCGCTATAACACGATTCATAAATTGCGAGAATCCTCCTACAACACGGCATCTTATAACACGGTTTCGCTTTAACACGATAAGAAAATTGCGAAAACCTTTGTATAACACTGTACTTTTACAACACTGGATAACATGATTTTTGCTTAACATATTTAAAAACTAAATTAACTTAAAATAATGACGCGAAGGAATAATGAACTATAGTGGCTTTACATGAAACTATACAGGGTGTTCGGCTACCCTTGGGAAAAATTGTAATGGGCAATTCTAGAGGCCAAAATAGGACGAAAGTCAAGAATACCAATTTGTTGATGGAGGCTTCGTTAAAAAGTTATTAACGTTTAAAGTACAGCCCGTACTGAATTTTTTTTCTCGAAAATGCGCAGGATTTCGGGGGTATGTCTATTCACCAAAAATGATTGCAATTGACCCCTACAAGCGAAAATAATTTTTCCAGAGTGATTTTTCCATTTCGCCGAAAAATTTAGGCACCTTGTCGATTTTTCCTGAAAATTCGTTTTTCATTTTTAATAAATTTGTTTGACGTCATACGGAAATGTTGTCTAATACTTTTTTGTAGGTATCCATAGGCTCTACTTCCATACTAAATTTCATTGCGATACGTTCATTATTGTAAAAGTTATGGACGTTTGAATATTGTACCATTTTTATGGGGTTTTTCTCATTTTGCGGGTTCAAGGAACAACTTTTTGAATATTTTTAGAATTTCTACATATTCTTTACTAAAATACGCATTGTTTGCCGTTTGAAACATTAAAATCCCCAATCCGTTCAGAAATTATGGCATTTTAAAGTTTCGCATGAAATTTCGGGGGTACATTTCTGGCCTCACATTAGATTTTCGGTCAGGAATTTTTTTCTCGAAAGTGGGTAGGATTTCGGTGGTATGTGTATTTACTAAATATGATTGTAATTAACCCCCCACAACCAAACATAATTTTTTCAGAATAATTTGAAATTTTTTAATTTAATTTTTTATAAATTTTTTAACGAAGCCTCAGTCAAGAAATTGATATTCTTGATTTTTGTATTATTTTGGCCTCTAAAATCTCCCATTAAAATATTTCCCAGGGTTGGCCGAACACACTGTATAAACAAATTATAATTTATTACTTTAAGGTTGCGTTAAATTAAAATAATATGCTTATGTAGAATTAAAACCCCCTTTTGTACTGGCTTTAGGTCTCATATAACACGGTTTCACAGAACACGGCAGTTTCTAGGAACCTATCTACTATGTTATAGGAGGGTTACCTATATTATATTTATTAACTCTTTGGGGCACGCTGGGATTAAAAGTATGCCACCTTTTTGATGCACCATAATGGTGGGACATTTTCAGTCCCATCACGAAATATTGCAATAGCTGCATGCGCATAGGTTTATATTTCGTCTTATTTACGTAAAGTAGTTGGTAATATCTTCAACAAATGTTACAAATGTATTCACTTGTGTTGGCAACATTCAACATGCCAATGTTCATCAATTGTTGCAAGCGGAAGGTTCATTGCGACAAATTTAATTAAACTATTACTATTTTTTTATGTTTTTACATTATGTGATATCTTTATTAGTAAAAATATACCAATTTTGTTTAATTTAAAATGCAATAAAATTTCTATGCAACATGGATCTATTTTATTATCTGAAATCCCGTGCCGCAAAGAATTAACATGTTCACTGCCGGTGATTGTCATCAGAGTCGGTCAGCAGCGGTTAGTATGAATTACTTTAAAAATTTCGCAAGATAATGTGAATCAAATGTATTAATTATCCTGGTAGTACAAATAAATGATAGTAAAAGATATATGAATAATGATTGAACAGTATGAATGTAAAAGTGGCTCTGATCAGAATCGATGACATGCAGCATTTGTCAGCATTTCATATGCCGGTAGTGAATGTATTAATAGAACTAGAATATAAGCCTACATAGAATACTATTTGGAATGTATTTGTTAATAGTTGCCCAAGATGCAGATTTAGAAATGGCAGTGAGGGCAGCAGTGTTCTCTTGTGTGGGAACAGCAGGACAAAGGTGTACTACTACTCGTAGATTAATTCTTCACAGTGAAATAAAAAATGAATTTCTAGGTACTATTTTAAGTTTCATTTTTAAAACAGTGCAATAATATAAAAAGTATCGAATTAACAAAATTGCAAATTTTTTTAGGAAAATTGAAAAAAGCATACAAGAGTATTTTGGAGCGGATAGGAGATCCTTTAGAGACTAATACCTTGTATGGACCACTGCATAATCAACACGCAGTAGACGAATACAAGGCAAGAATACTTTTCGCAATATTCAAAATTATATAATAAATAATATCCTATGTATGGTCCCAAAAAGTATAGTAATGCAAAGATTGACGATTTTTTATAGAAAGCTATCAACGATGTTTTAAAGAGTGGCGGTAAAATTGAATTTGGTGGAAAGGAAATAGACAGGCCTGGCTTTTACGTCGAACCAACAATTGTTTCCGGTTTATCGCCTGATGCAGAGGTGGTTCAAAAAGAAACTTTTGCACCAATTGTGTACATTTTTGAAGTAAATTCTATAGAAAATGCTATTGCTCTTAATAATGGTGTAGAACAAGGATTAAGTAGTTCTCTGTTTACTAAAAATATCGGAAATGTATTTCAGGTAAGCGCGTAATTGCATCACTATATATTTGTGTTATATTATTGTTACTAAAGACATAATATTGTCTTACAGTGGATTGGTCCCCAAGGCTCTGATTGTGGAATAGTAAATGTTAATATTGGAACTAGTGGTGCAGAAATAGGTGGTGCGTTTGGAGGAGAAAAAGCTACGGGTGGGGGTCGCGAAAGTGGAAGTGATGCATGGAAACATTACATGCGACGTTCTACTATTACAATTAATCATGGAAATGAAATGCCATTGGCTCAGGGCATCAAGTTTGAATAGTTTGATAAATATATAATAAATCTAGTGAAAATATTTCAATGATTTAATTCAAATCGTATAAAATCCACGCGAACGTCTACAGAGGCTCTTTTATGAAATTTGTATGCTTTTGGTAGATCATATCTCAATTCTGCGATAACTTTTCCTTTGGCTCCGAATTGTGCAGCTTTTTGGAGAATGTAATTACGCGTACTTGTTTTGTGTAAAGAATACACAGTATTTGATGCAAGTTTAGTTGCTATCTTTAAAAATTTTGTATCTGTACCTGCGTTGTGCTTTGTTCCAAAAGGTGGATTCATTATCACTGTATCAAAGTATTTTTCAAATCGCCCTGCAATATAATTGTAAAAAAGATGTAATGTTTTTAACAAATAAATTTTATACATTCCTATATATATACGTGTATACCTGGTAGATACTGAAGTACATCACATTGTACAGCCTCCACAAATAGTTCAATATCACTACAATTTTTACTATGAATTTGTAGTGCATCAGAGTCTATTTCAAAGCCAATTACATGATTTGCTCCAAGCATTTGTGCTCCGAGTGACAAGATACCACACCCACAACCTAAATCGGCTACTGTACGTCGTTCTATGTCATCAAATTGGGATTGGGCACTATACAACATATGCGACGCAATATGTGCACTAGTACAGTACTGTTCAAGTAATATTTTTGGCTTATCAAATCCATCCAATTGTTGTAGATATTCTTCTAATTCACGAAGCTGCATGCTAGCCATATTTTTATATTTTGTTATTTGCACTCTGTATCGTCCTTTAGTTTTATAGGAGATATACTCCAAAAACTATTTAACTCTTAAAGTTGCTTTAGTCACACTTATTTATATGTACAGTCTTTGACACCATTTATTATTTACAATTTCAATATATGTTAATTAACTTTTTCATTTAGCATCAAACCTGGGTAGAACAGGTAAAATTAAATTGCCAAAAGAAGAGTCTTGTGTCACAAAGTATCCTGATGAGGCTGCATGCGCATTATGCAAGGCAGCTCTTTGCGATGCACTCATTGTAACACCATCGGTAGGTTGTGCAGAAGGCTAATAAAATGTATATATCAGAAGTAAATGTATGATGATACGTCTTGCAATTTAAATAAATTTTTAAAATATGAAGGATGTGTTTACCAAATTAGAAGGGGAACCTGTTGATGTAACAGCTAATGAAGTGTTCAATGTCGGTGCCACACCTTGTTTTAATAACATTTGCTTCTTCAGTTGCAATTCTTCTAAGATTTTTCTGTTTTGTAATTCTATAACCAATCTAAGTAAAGACTTTGCTTTATGTTCAGAAAAATCATAAAATTATGAATGATAATACCTCTTGAATTCGATTGTGAAAAAGCCATCAAAAAGTTAGATTCCTGGTTTCAAAATAGTGGAATGTTTTATAACGTCTCCAATTTATGGAACAAAAGGTCAGGCGTGTAATCGGAAATAGGTTACACTATCGGTTGCTTATAACGTACTTTTTAATCCTAATTTTAAAAAAGTACAAATAATATATAGTTAATGTAAACATTTAGATCGTAAATAGACCGTTGATTTCGAAAAGGATATTACTGTCTCGACAATGTTTACATTTTGGAATAATTGTTTGTTACCTTAACCTCTTTAAATTAAGAAACTCTGAAAAAGTCACTTTGTTCGTTTAATATTAGTGTCATATGTGTCTTTCCATTTAGACAGAATCTTATCAGTTTCTACGATAACAGTGTTCATTCCAGTTCATTGAATAACCCTCAAATATTATTGCGTTATTTAAGGATTTCCTAATTTATTTTCCAAAAAGTGTAAATGGAATTAATGAAAAATTCCCTAGAAAGAAACGAATAGTTAAAACACACAGTTCCTAGGGCACCGAGAGAGATTTGTGACATCGATACTTGACGCATGCGTCGGGATCGAAGATTCTCGCAGGCGCCACCTTGCGAGACAGTCCTATCGTAGAAGTTATCTCGAGTAGTTCTTCGGTGGTTGTGTTCGTCCGGTTTTCTCGTGATTTTTTCCGATCTCGAAGGATCCCGGTTACTGCTACTCCGACAAAAAGACGTGAGTATCGAACACTCAGTCTGCAAAGTTTGTTTTTGACGTTGCATTTGCGAGCGGGCTGGTCGGGCTAGCTGTAAAATTACAGCAACCAGACGTGACAGGTTCCAGCAAAATGGCCGTACACGATTTACAACAAACGGTTGTTCCGCGTTCGTCCGATGATTTCATACCAGTGCATTCTGACCGACATGACACTGCTTGACATCGTACACTCGATCAAAAACCGATTAAGACGCTGATAAGCGATTCCTGGTCAGTCATCGAGCTGTGTTCCACACATATTCTACGTACATGTTGCACGTCACTTCGAATTGATTTTTTCGCGAGTGACCGCTTGCGTGGTGCGGTGGTACAACGGCTTTGCCGCAACTGTCGAGCAACCGAACTTAAACCTTTGTACCGAATTTCGTTGATTCTCAGTTTTATGCATTATCTTATCTGTCAGATCTCGGACAATGAGAGATAATTCGATTGCACTTTTTGACAGACGGTGTCTGCGCGAGTTGCTCTCGAGTCAGCGATCAGCTGTCGAGTCTGTCAGCGACTCGAATTCCCGACGTTTCTGCATCGAACGTAAATGCATCGATACAAATGATCTTCTCGTTATTAGATTCCCATTTTTCAAACTTCTGACAAATTTTCTTGAAAACTGACATTGCTGCCAAACGAGTTTTGCTTTGTCTCTGTCGAACGCGCGAACAGAGAAGCCTTGATGTATTTAACGTTGCAGAGGTTGCCAACGATCTCGAGAAACTCCTCGTGCTAACTCATAAGGAGATTAGTCGAGAAGAGCGAAGCCACAGGTAGATCGCGGGGTCGAAAAGGCCAAGAGTCGCTCACCCGTGCAGACGATCCTGGAAATAGCCATGGCAAAAAGTCATAGATGATTAATATCGCATATAAATGGACCTTGGTAGGATCGCGTATTAGGAAGCAAGTGTAGTGTAGTAGTTTAAATGTTTCTATTCGGAGTAATATACGTGTTTCTCTGACGAATTGCAAATTCATTTTTCGCTAACGATTAGGACGACTTCAATGATTGTTTAAAATATTTTCGTACAAGAGTATCCGTCCTATTAAAAATGTAGGAATTTTATTTTTAAACCGGTTCGTAACGCACCACGCGACCTCCAAGAGTGGGGCGCATCTAGTCCAAGTTTTGTCAACAAAAAAAACGCAGTTCAAGTGCGACACGAGTGCAATAAAGTTTCGTGGGAGATTCGGATAATCTTGTGCTCGATGTTCATAGTGTCTATTAATGGGATTGAATGTAAAGAATTGAAGGAGTCTGGCATGAATATTTGAATGCACTGCAAGGTGAAACATACACAGTACCGAGGGTGGGCGGACAGCCGGTTTATCGATTACGGCGCATCGCGCCGATAAGCATCGTCATAAAGCGTCGCGACGACGCAGCACGCTTTTGCGATTGTCAAGGTCTTACCTCATAGCGTATTTCTTCTTCCGACGCATTGCTTTTCCTATCAAAGCGATCAAATTATCGTTTCGGGACATTTTCACTGTCTGGCGAACTCGAACGTTACCGGGAAAAGATGGCGGCCCGTAATTCGTTGTTTCTAATTGGCTGATTTCGACTCGCTTTCACCAATCGCAGCAGACTTGTCTCACTGTCGTTCAAAGATCACTGACCAATCGCGTTCCCATTTATTTGATCGAAGCCCGCGTTTTTTGCCAAATGTTATGTCATACTAGGTATTGCATCCGTGAGGAGCGTTTCGCAGCGGTGGAGAAATGCAATCGATATTTTGGACCTTATACGTTGTTTGTTGTCGAATGGAAGTGTTACAAAGTTACGAACGACTTCAAATGTAAATATTAATTCCTTAATTCTAATTTTCAAGTATTGTTGAATTGTATGTGTACGTATATCTAATAAACGGTTTGTGACATTGAGGTTGAGATCTTTACGAAACTGAGGGCGTACATTTTTGTTACTTTGTTACAAATACTTTGCGTTTTACAAGTAGTCTAATATAGTTTATATATCGATACTAAATGATATTTGATTAAATTGTTAGGTAGTGTAACTGAAACAGGTACTTTTGGAGTGACATCATCGTTTTAAAAAGAACTTTTATCATTTCTCGAGTAACATGTAGCTCAAGACGATGCACAGAGTCGCGTATATGTATGTATGGGAATTTGTAACAAAAATAACAACTTCTAATTCTTGTTTAATATGTGACTGCCACGCCAGTTTTCCATGTCTAGAGATATATTTATCATTTGCTCAAATTATAGTGTAAAAAATAGAAATATTCGGAAATTCAATGATGTACTTTTTATTTTGTAGTGTTCTTAATGAAAGAAGTGTTGTTTAATATTAGACAAAAATTAGTTCCTTCATTGTAAACGATTTTGAAATACATTGTAAGTTTCAACTGCCGGCCATCAGTGACCACCATGGCAGTAAACGTGTTAAAAAGAATACAATAGTACGATTGATGCATAAAACAATTTATATAAAATAAATTGAAAACACAAACATTCGTCAAATGATACGTATTTAGAAAAATGCATTTAGAATTACAATAAATTTCTGATATCATTTTTAACAGGGAATTGAAAAATTCAATGAAAATGATAATATTAAATCTACGTTCTTTTATTACTATTTTAAGATATAGGAATTTGTAAAACAGTCTTCAGTCTTTTTTACTTTTGTCCATTGCTGGACACACTATACGATAAAGAAATAGGAAAGTTAGGAATGAAAATTTATATTGTTTTTTTTCTGCACATTTTTTGTATTGGGGTTCCTTCGTTCATCTCATTTGATTTGTTTATAACGCGTAAGAAATATTATGGGTCGAGCGAAATCGTGTTTTTTTCCAAGCTTAAAATTTTGGAGGTGGTCAGCACAATTTGCGATATACAGGGTGTTCGGCTATCTCCGGGAAAAATTTTAATGGGAGATTCTAGCGGTCAAAATGAAACGAATATCAAGAATACCAATTTGTTGACCGAGGCTTCGTTACAAAGTTATTAAAAAATTCAATTGAAAAATTTCAAATCATTCTGAAAAAATTATTTTCGGTTGCGGGGGTCAATTACAATCATTTTTGGTGAATGTTCATACCCCTGAAATCCTACCCAGTCTCGAGAAAAAAATTCGAGTAGGTACTCAAATTTTTAGACGAAATTAAAAAATTTCAAATTATACTAAAAAAATTATATTTAGTTACCAGGGTCAATTATAATCATTTTTGATGAATAGACGTACCCCGAATTTCTACGCACTTTCGAGAAAAAAATTCTTTACCAAAAATCTAATGTGAGGCCAGAAATGCTTCCCTGACGTTTCATGCGAACCATTAAAATGTCAAAACTCCAGAACGGATTGGAGGATTTTAATTTTTTAAACTGCGAACAACGCGTATTTTAGTGCAGAATACGTAGAAATTATATCAATATTGAAAAAGGTGTTCCTGGACACCGTATAGTGAGAAAAACCTCCTAAAACTGGTCCAATTTTGAAACGGCCACAATTCCTACAATAGTAAAGGTATCTCATTGAAATTTTTTTCTGAAGCAGAGCCGATGGATACCTATAAAAAAGTATTGGACAACTTTTCTGTAGAGCGTCAAACAAATTTATTAAAAATGAAAAACGAATTTTTAAGAAAAATCGACAGGGGAATAAATTTTTTGGCGACAAAAAAAAATCAAATCATTCTGGAAAAATTATTTTCGGTTGCGGGGGTCAATTATAATCATTTTAGGCCATTAGACATACCCTCGAAATCCTACCCACTTTTGAGAAACAAATTCATGAAGGTGAATATATGAATGAAGGTTCGATAAAATCAAAAAATTTCACATCGTTCTGGAAAAATTATTTTTGGTTGCGGGGGTTAATTATAATCACTTTTGGCGAATAGACATACCCCTCAAATCCTGCGCATTTTCGAGAAGAAAATTCAGTACGGACGGAACTTTAAACGTTATTAACTTTTTAACGAAGCCTCGATCGACAAATTGATATTCTTAATTTTCGTCTTATTTTGGTCTCTAGAATCTCCCATTAAAATTTTTTCCAGGGAGCTGAACGCCCTGTATGTATGCATAATCAGTTCATTTTTTAAATTAAAATATCTCCCAATAGAAATTTATTTACTTTGGAATAACGAATTTGAATATTGTTACAGCGTCAGTTATTCTAATCAATAATTTAAGTGACGTTGCAATAAATTTTGCATGAAAATAAAATGTCTCGCTTTTTGTTTTTTTTTTTTATATCGAAAACTATAGAAATGTTTTGTTGCTTGTTACGCACGTATAATAATAGTGATAAATAAATATTTCACCATCGAAAAGAAATCATCTTAAAATAAAGGTTGTTCTGTGAAACGAACGTGCGCAAATTTAATGAATGGTATCACGAAAAATGAAATAATAAAGTACGAGTGATAGCTACGTATCGTTATCATCTTTATCTCTTATTGCGTTTCTGGCATAAAATTTGCAGTTTCCAATTGCAACGAACGTATTGTTTCGACGGCGAAACTGTATGCTACGCCTTTGGGAAAGTAAAATAAATTGCGGCATTGATTACAGCCTAGAGAGCATGTTATTGTTCCGATTAAGGAGTTCGGGACAAATCTCTCTCACACGTTCCTTTCAATGCTCGTGTATTTTCTTTTTTCAATGGATAAGAAATCGTTTCGCTGGAAGTATTTTAAACGGTAAAACTACAGTTTCACAGGAATACAGGATATCATGTGTTTCTGTTATTTTCTTTTAGGAAATTAAATTTTTTTTTATATTCTATGTTCTATATTTTCTATTTAGTTCGTTAAATCGTTCTTACAATTTCAATTTGCATATGACGTGATATCTTCGTTACAATATCGATATTATTATAATCTTTCGACGTGTATTTAAATATAGTTAGAGTAGAATATATTAAAGATTCATGAAAATTTGAATTGTTAATCTGAAGTGTCCGGTTAATATAATTCGCTGAAACAATTTGTACAGATTTTTAACTTATTTGCAAAATACAAACTGTTAACTGACAATTACAATTAAAACTTGAAAATTAGACTAAACAAAATAATGGCACAATGCTCGCAAAGTTCATCTGGGAATTTTTTTTTCAAGTACTTCTCTTTGTCATGTAGAAGTGGAGTTTTTTTTCTTTCTTTTATTGGTCTGTAAGCACTTTGATACATATGTATATCGTATTTAAATTAAATTACTGGCATAAATAGGCTTCTGAATTTAAGAAAAAGGAAAACAAAATTCAAGTCTAACGTAGTAAATTGTATACAAAATCTTGTAATGAAAAAATGATTGCATTCAATGTTCAGACCCTAATAAAAGAAAGAACCATGATCGTGAATACTGGGGAAAAATATTTTCCTTTAGTGGGACTCGATCCAGTGATTTTACAGTTTACAGTCTCCAAATTTAATCTTTTTTCGTCAAAACGGCTATAGTTTATTTCAAATTGATTCTTGGCCATTAACGTTAGCGCAGCTGGTGATTTTAGTGCAAAACGGACACAAATTGAGAAATACACTTTTATATAACGTGTCTGACATTAAATATTTCGCTGGTCCTGATGATAGGAAAAAATATTAGATTTGTTTTGAAGGATTATGATAAACAAAAACCTCTTCTTAAAGTCATAACAGAAATTACGTTTACATGGTAAGAAAGAATTGTATAACACGTGGTTCGATCCCAATACGTAGATTTTTATTTTTTCCGGTCAGAGTTTGGAGTTACTCGAATAAATTTGTGTTGAAATAAACGTTTAAATGAAAATAAATAACATGTGACACGCATCATACACCTGCTACACGCTATACAGATAACACATTACGCACATGACACCGGTATTTTTAAGTATGCTTTACCGATATTTGACGCCAATAACGGCGCGAGAAGTTACTGAAAAGAGTTTTTAATCAATATTCCCTTTTGAAATGAATAATTTTTATATTAAAAAAAAGCACCGAAAGAAATGATTAATTCTCGTTTTAAACTTAGTTCTAATTGATCTACAGAAGCACTAATCAGAGGGAGCTAATTTTTCAAAATTATGTATACCAAAATTATAGAATAGTTTCTCTTTTATGAGTTGCTAGGAGACTTTCCTATTCATACGATCGATACGCTGCAGTGGTACTAAAAATATAAATTTATTTATTTGACTAATACTAGTATTACTTTATTTTACAGGCGATGTCGATAGCTGGGTACTAAACTAATCAGGAGCTGACTGGAGAAGAATCTAGTCGCGCTCACTTGAATCACTGTTGAGTATCAGCTAGCAAACACACGCAAGGATCATGAAAATGGTGCTGTCTCAACGTCAGAGGGAGGAGTTGTAAGTTGAAAATTGTCACATTTGTTAGATTGTGAAAAGCGAACAGAATTTCATTAGAATGCGATCGTAAACTTGTCGATTTTACTGACCATGCAAACCAGTGGTTTCAAACAGTTTAGACACCCGCTCCCTTCAAAAAAAGAAAATTTCTATGCCCGAAATAAGTAATAAATTTAAACCGACACAAGAAAAATACACTTCGACATTTGTTAAATTTTGATAATTTTCATCTTGTAATATTTGAAATTTTCTTACGTGTCTGCCCTATGAATTGCGTTACGGTCCCCATTCTCCATTTTGAAAAACACTGCTGTATCATATACAGGATGTTCCACCACCCCTGGGAAAAATTTTATCGGGAGATTCTGGAGGTCAAAATAAGACGAAAATCAAGAATGCCAATTTGTTGAATGAGACTTCGTTAAAAAGTTATTAACGTTTAAAATTCCGCTTGTAGAACGGCAATCTGCGAACAGCTGCGCGCGCGTGATAGTGGTTCTCACCCAGAAAACTGTGAGGCTGTCGATAGATCACTAAGTAGAGTTTCTCATGTTGACTGAGAACCACTATCGCCCACATCGCTCGTTCTACAGGCGGAACTGTAAACGTTAATAACTTTTTAACGAAGCCCCAATCAACAAATTTGTATTCTTGATTTTCGTCTTATTTTGGCCTCTAGAATCTACAATTCAAATTTTTCCCAGGGGCGAATGAACACCCTGTATTATTTCAAGATATTTGTCAAACCGCGAACTTCTTTCTCCAAAAATTTATATAATTTGATATTTAGTCATTTTTCTGGAATTTCTTATATATCTTTCGTTTTACATTCTTGTTTAAATGGTCAAAAATACGTAGAGTGTACTTAAAATAGTTGAACCAAAGTACTATGCAACGAATTGAATTAGTTCCACTTTCAATCACATGGATTGTCAATATTGGATTAGTCAATCACATCCATAAGTATAATTATCCCTCGAATTATTATTAAATGGAAAAGAATTAGCGATTTATTAGTTTTTGTAGCGTGGCTAACATGTATATTTTTTACTCCTTAATTTCTAATAAGCTTTTGATTGCTCTGTTGTTGTCAGCTTCATTTATTTGTTTTGATTTGCACGCTTCACAGATAAAAACCGTACAGTATAATATTTTAAGTGAAGTACACGGTGAACTTAACGTTACTTTCGTTGTAGTAACAAGTGGGTACCAATTCTGTTTGATACTGTTCGATGCTAGATTATAATTTATGAACTAGTATTATTCCCATCAGTGACTTGCAACGCAAACAAAATTGAAAATAGAAAATGTTCAGGTTCATTGTTATTTCAAAACACTTGAGGAAAAGAAGCACGCTCTTGAAATTTTTATCGCGTGATTATAACCGGAGCATGTGTTTCTAACACGCGATACATACTAATTAATAACGTAATAATGATAGTGGATTGCAATGATTGCTAAACGGTATCATCCCATTGGGGAATGGCAGGCATCTTGGGTAGCACTATTTAATAAAACGAATTTGTAATTGTTTATTTTCGATTTCACTGTACTCCAATAATTTTTTACTCAGCTTTCGATACTCTTTCGAATTTTCAAGTGAATCTCTAGTCTCAAGTATCTAATTGCTCATTTGCAGAACTTAGTAACTGTGATCATTATCTTTTAGTAAAAAGGCAAAATAGCAAAAAACTGATTACTATAGTCTACTCCCCTGCGTGTACTATGCGATTTTTAGATGATTCTACCCAAGATTCCAACATATTCCATTAAAATTGTGTATTTTCTTCAATAATTTTAACTCTCTATCAAGTACTCGTGCACAAATTGATTTGAAAGAACAATAAACTAATTAGTGGAAATTTAAATAATGACCGATTGAAAAAACAATAAACCAATTAGTGGAAATCTGAACAATGATAGCAGTATTTCAGTTTCTTACTCAGCATCCGATATCAGTTTAATCACGAAAATGTATTATAAGCAGATCAAAGGATTTCTTACAATTTTATCGTTGTAATGTAGAATTTTACTAATTTTAAAGTGCAATTTCTTTTGAATATATCTAACTTTTCAATATTATTTTAATAATAAAGTTTGCAAACATTGTTTTACAGAGATAAATTTTATTTTCTTTCTGTTAATTAAGGCAATCCTCCACAAAAGAGCAATTTTTGTCCAAATAATTTTCTTGTACCTCCTTAAATTTGCAGGTCTCGTCCTTGGATTTGCTTAATAAAAAAATAGACTTAATTCGGAATTAAAGACCTAAGAGTAAATGTCCTTCATCAATTATATTTTGAATCAAGATGGTATCATTTAAATTCGTTTTCTCGATCACTGGTCAGCAGCAAATGTGTATTCTTCATCTAAGTAATCAGTTTTAGTCTCGGTTTATGACTCTAATTACGAAAATGAAAATTAAATTAAAATATTAGCTCTATTTTTTCTAACATAAAATCCAAAAATGAACGTTTTGTAATACCTAAAAAAATTATTATTTTTGACGACTTTTATGTTTTATATCCGACAGTCTTTTTTACTTCATTTATAATTTTAGCAAACTATTTTTGGAAACTAAACCTAAGTGAGACCAAGTCGATTTAAACGTATGTAAATGCAGTATTTTCAGCTCCATTATGTCAGTTAATTTATGATTTTATAATTTGTGGTGGATTAATAAAGGCAAAAATCAATATAATTTTATTAGTTTTAACGTACGCATATTTTCAATCTACTGCACTGAAATTAAATAAATTATGCCTTATATTTTTTAAATTGAGACCAAACAATTTTGTCCCCTATTATCTTCTATCTCAGTGTACACAAATAAATAGGTAGATCGCTTAATCGTAAAGAATACGAGCTATTCTTTAAAATTTGTTGACCAGTGTAATCCGTAGTGTAAAGGACTGATAATTTTGAATCGTATATTCCATGGTTTTAAAGCTGTCAGGGTGTGGATAAAAAATATTTGTGATCTTTCGGTCAAGTAACATACCAAGCGTCGCTACGTAGAACAACACTACATCCTTTTAAATTTCGAAAATATTTTTGGTCAGTTGTAGCAAAAATTGAAATTGTTGCTCCAAAATCTTCGAAACTAATTTTACTAAATTTTATTATAAAAGTAGTTAAATCCAGTGGCGATTGTCTTGAAATGATGCCTTGTGCTCTAATGATTCATTAGAAATAAAAGTTTTTACTTAAATTTGATTGAATACTTTAGTGACAAAAAATCGAGATTATTTTTCTGCAGTATTTAGAGGTGATTAATCGATTAGATGCCATAGTCATCGTTTGGGGATCACACATATTTAATCCTATCACTTTTTCTGTATTGATCCTGAGTAAGGCTTGTCTTATTATAACTTTAAACAAATATTTTGATTAAATCCATTGAAGAACATTTAAAGTCTGTATAAAATTTTATATCAATTTTGGAAAACAATTTGCAGTTAAAAGCAATGCAACGACGGTGCGCAAAATGATATTTGATCGATATTTGACTCGAGAAACACGTTGCAAGCACAAGAAAGAACAATTTACAGGTTGGTCTACTTGAGGCAAGAAGTACGTCGATGTATTGTGAATTTGTAGTCTATTGTTTAATGCATTTATATCAACAACCGTTTGAGAGACGGTCGGACCAGTTAGGCTTAGTCATCAATTGTCAGTTGGTCTCTCAGACAGACACAATGTCATTATTATTTCTTGACATGTGCCCTATGGCGTGGGTCGTATACGTCCCACGCTGACGTGAACTTTCCGTTTAGGCTGATATTTTCGCTATTAAATGTAACATTTTCGTAATACATTTTAGAAAATTGTGTATTGATTTCTATCGTTAGATTCTACTTCTATAGTAGTCTGTTTTTTGATTAATAAAAAGGGAGGACAATTTAATTTTGCAAGACAATGCAGCAAACATTGCAATCAAAATAATACTAAAAAATTTGGTGCATCTGTAAGAAATTTTACTATAAAAATAATCTAATCCTGCAACCTGCTTTATAATTATAGGTGATATCTTAACTGAAGTACAGAAAGATTAGAATTAGAAATAAAAGTTTCATCAAATGCATTTTCTTTTTTTGACTTAAACTGTGACGATCTTTGTTAGAACAAATTTTTGTATGTTCTGTCATGCATTTTAAACGTTACATCTTTCCTTTGGTAATAGGGAAACTATGTTTGTAGTCTTATAAACGTTAAAAGATAAGTGTTATATAAAACTCTATTAATTTCGATAATTGAGGACGCAAAAATCAGTTTGGCGGGAAATAAGTTAATTAGTTTTCTTATTAAGAATTGGAAGTGAGGAATATCGTATTGTAAGTTAATCACTTATATTGAAAATAATTTAGTTAACATTTAAGAAATTATTAATTATATATTTCTACGTGACATTGCTTGGAGATCAGAAGCCTGATCGATAGATCATTAATATTGTTTCTACCTCATTCAAAGGGGTTATTAGACACGAAACAATCAGACTTCTCATATTTTTATTTTATTTTATAGTATTTCCTTTTTTTTGGCTTTTCTTTTCGAATAGTGCCTTTTATTCAAGGACGAGATCCTTACATCTAAGATTAAACTTTACGTTGATGAAAAAACTCCGTTAGCACGTTTCCTTTCTATTCTGTCATACGATATTGAAAAAGTATGTCGTATAAATTTTATCTATACAAATGTTTACAGTAAAAATCGCGAGAAACGTCAACGTAGTATAACTGTAAACTAATACTTTTTGTAGGAAATGATAATTTCAGTATGAGTCAAATCGTCTTCGTATCTAAATTTGCATACTAGGTACAGCATTCAGTTTTTAAAACCCCCACAATCAGTATGTTATTCAGCTGATTATTTATTGTTTAACATTTGTTGATATTCTGTAGTTTGAGTACTGTTCGTTTAAAAATGACTTAATCCCTTATACAGGAAGTTCGGCCATCCATGGGAAAAATTTTAATAAGAGATTTTGGAGGCCAAAATAA